TGCTGCAAGTAAAGCAGAACTCTTCTGTGGCACTTTTGTTTTACAGAGGAGTTTTTTGTATTTTGTACGTGATTGAGAAGTGAAGCAGCTATTGGCTGTTGAAAGGGGACCTTAATGGCAGATGTGAACATGTATATTCTGGTAAAAAGCTTTCTGGTAAAATAAAAACAAGAAAAGGCTGCAAGTTTGAATGAGACAAAGAGGTAACAGAGGTAAGTGGATGGTGCTAATTAGTGGGCGATATACCGGTTCATCTAGTAAACAGGTTGAAATTCTTTCTCAGTTATGAGCTTTGTCATTACTGTTATACCAATATGCGACAAATAACACAACATAAATCTAGTGCCAAACACCTCCCATGTGGTGAGTTGCAGCCTGAGGTAGGGTGGTTCAATTTGTTGTTGAAGGATTGACATCAGATTGTAAAGATTAAAGGAGAAAAAAGAGAGTTGGATGACAAACCAGTCTCTTGGGGTTATCCATTAGCCATAAGCCTAACGTTGGGACTAGCTAGCTTTACGTGTGCACGGCCTACAGCCCTCGCTTGGCCAACTGCTTCAGGTAATGCTGCAATCTCAGCCTACAAGCCATCATCACGGTCTGACAGCGTAGGTAAAAGCCCTATGAGACATGTTGTCCAATAAAAGTAATTTAGATTTACTTCAGTTGTTAAACATTGTTCTTATTAAACATGAAGGGACATTCTGCATTCAGAAACAGCTGATGAGAATGTCTGAATGAAGTGATACATGTCATTGATGGTGATCTTTGGCAGATCTGCTAAAATCTAATGTAAAAAGTCACTGTCTACCAACTGAGACATTATGTATAATAATGACAGTATAATAATGACAGTCCTTCAGTCTTTCGAAGTATGCTGCCAGCTTCAGTTGGCACTCGTTCTCCTTTGCGTTGGTGTGTCTGGGCACTTGTGAAGAAAAAGATGCACTGGTTTACGTTCATTTCAGATGTCTCCATTTAGTGGTTTTATCTGTGATAATATCAGCTGTGGTCCCTGTGGTCATGAGGCTGGGAGCTCCAAACCAGCATAATTAACCTAATTACTGAGATTGGATAAATACAGTGAAACTGAGGAAAATGCACACCCACTTAATCCTGCTGAGTTCTCTCATTCATCCTCTCTGCTGAGCAAACATCTTTCTCTTCAGTCAGAAGGCCTGGATTTATGTATGATAATGTTCATGTTGGAACACTTTTGTCTTGTTTTACCTGTTTTTTAGAGCATATTTCTGTTCATGGTCTTTATAGTGCAGGGGTTCCCAACCTTTTGCTGCCAACCACAAAGCTTTTCATGGCCACCAAGAAGATTTATCTGTTTAGAATACAAGCAAATGTAACACCATAATCAACTGAGCCTCTTGAATTTTGCTTGAATGGATCACGCTACATAGTAAACACAAATCATAAAATGATGAATTTCAGCATAATATGGTCAGTTGCATTAAGCCAGTTGTGTCTAGACCACCTCACTCAAAGACTTAAGAGTGTTTCCCTCAGCTGGCTGGTCATTTAAAAGCAGGAAAGGTAATTTGTCTGCTCAGTTCATTTGTTCAACTAAAGCACTTTGAGCTTTTTTTTTTTATTAAACCATAATTTCTGTAAGTGACTGAAGACATAGGCCTCAAGTTTGGGGCTTTTGGTCTTGTTCTTTTTTCATTTTGTTTGTTTTGTGTTGAAAAATCCCAGCAATAAGCATTTGTTCATTACCCCTCTTCACCTTGTCCAGCGTAATGGAAGACACAGAAGACAAGGAAGCAAGATGCAAGTGCGAGCTGGGAGCTTTATTGGTGTCCATCCAAAACATCAAAAAAAAAAGAAAGAAACAAAACTAAAGTTACTATAAAACTTGAAAAATAACGTAAGAAACAACTGGAATCATGAAACACAGAACACACAGAACCAAACCAAGTACAAATACTGGGGATAAATACACCAACCCAGAATCAGAGAACACAGCAAACAGCACCAAGCAGGGAACAGGACAAAACCACAGGGTATAAATACAGGAGGAAGGAAACACCTGGGAGCAATTGTAGGGCAGGGCAACAGATGATAAGACACAGGTGAGGGGCAAGGCAGAGGGGCGGAGCAAGGGAGGAGCAGGGAAAGCAAAACAAACGGAATCACATGGCAGACACATGAGGGAAGGTAAACTAAAGGAGAAAAGCAAGACACAATGTTATATTACTTAGCACAATCTCTTTGACATCGTACTGTCTTTAAATTTAATATAGTGTTAATGCTGTCATTTTAGCATGAAGGAGTTCTTTTAAATAAGTGGGTGAAACCTAAACTCATTCCAAATGTTCCTAAATGAATGGGAACAAGCAGGTAGCTTGTATTTCTTTGTTAGCTAGTGTTTGTTAGCTAGTTATAGCTCAGGCAAATCGAAGGTAACATTGTATTGCACAGTATTGTTGTCTGGTTTAAACTGGTTAACAGTGGCCATGGTGTCTTGTGCCTTTGCATTTGCAATATTATAATTTTTTGTGTGAAATATTTCAATGAAAGGGGAAAACTTCATTCATGACAAATGCTGAATGGGAACAAGCTACTAGCTAGTATTTGTTTGCTAATTATAGCTCAGACAAATCCATGCTAGCATTTTGCTGCACAGCATTGTTGTCTGGTTTAAATTGGTTAATTGTGGCTGTGGTGTGTTGATAAGCTTTTGGGGCCTTTGTGTTGGCAACAGTATAATGTTGGTTTAAAATATCCCTTTACAAAAAAGGGTACCATTCTAACACATGTGAAATGATCCTAACTGAAAGGGAACAAGCTACTAGCGTTTGCTAGTTGTAGCTCAGACAGGAGAATATTGTCAATGCAAAGGATCTACTCTTGCACTGTGTTACACAGCATTGTTGTGCGGTTTAAATTGGTTAATCGTAACTGTGGTGTGTTGGTAATCTCTCTGACTCTTTGTGAGCCGCCTCCTTAAGCTCACAGTCTGGTGTGGAAATCAATCTGCTAACTGGAAAAAAAACAGCTGCTAGAGTATTAAAATTCAGGTTCAGGCTAGTCAGAGCTGAATGGGTGAAGGGCTTGAGAGGGTTGACCTGTTTAACACAAAAAGCAGAGCAGACATGAACCCTAATTCTGTTTTTTGTTCGCACATGTGGAATAGATGTTTGAGCTTAGGATTTTATTGGTGGCTCTGATGCTAACTCTAGCAGGGCTTTAAAACCCAAGTGTTTGTTCTAGCTTTGAGCTTCAGCACGTACTGAGAACAGGTTTTCTTGCAATTCTTGAAGACTTAATGGAATCACATAATTTCCCCCTTACCCCAAGGCATGTTTGGTGTCTGAAATTTTCTTCTTAGACAAATGTATGTTAGCAAAGCTAAAACGGTACCCTGCAAACACAGTTACATTGTGACTACACCTACTGTTTTGGTGCCCACAACGTTGAAATGTAATTCCTCAGAAAATTCTGACAACATTGTGACAACATAGTGGCAACAATGACAGTAAGTTGTCACAACCTCATAGAATCCTCACAAGTTCCATTATGTTGTGCGTGGAACTCCATGGAATTTTGCCAAGTTGCTAACAGGTAATCGTAACACCATACGGCAGCGTTACTGAATAATGAGGTTGTGACAACATTGTGACAACCTTGTTTAGACGACTTATAGAGTATTACAGTATGTAATACAGTGTCAAATCGCATAAAGTTTATTTGAGATTACCGAACAACTCCACACTGTTTGAGGCATGCACTTAGCACCATGCTAATTAATGCTAATGCTTTAAATGTTTATTAGCTACATTATATTTGTAGCTCCAGTGCTAAAACTAAAGAAGTAAATTTCAGACACCAAACATGTGCTGGATGAAAGTACTGTTACATAATAATAAAAACATTTTAATAGTTACAATAATTAATATATTACTGTAGTAGTAGTAGTAATAATAATGATAATAATTAATAGTAAACCGTTTCTGTACACTACCGTTTAAACTCTATAAATTTCTTTGAATTAGAGGGATAGTTTATTCTAATGTGCATGTAAGATTGGTGTATTTAAATGAACTCTGTTCTAGAGGCTATCCTGCATTTAAGAAGCACTGTGGGCTGAAACGCTATGTAACATAAGCATGAATGAGCAGTACTGTAGGCTGAATGAGTGGGGCTAAACTACTGTGGGCTGGATGAGTGGGGCTGAACTACTGTAGACTGAATGAGTGGGGCTAAACTACTGTAGGCTGAATGAGTGGGGCTAAACTACTGTAGGCTGGATGAGTGGGGCTAAACTACTGTGGGCTGGATGAGTGGGGCTAAACTACTGTAGGCTGAATGAGTGGGGCTAAACTACTATAGGCTGGATGAATGAGACTAAACCACTGTGGGCTGGATGAGTGAGGCTAAACCATTGTGGGCTGGGTGAGTGAGGCTAAACCACTGTAGGCTGGATGGGCGGGGCTAAAATACTGCAAGCTGAATATGAAAATGATTATATACTCCCTCAATTTTTTATTTCCAGAACGTAAGGAAAATTATGTTTTTCCTCATATGAGCCCTTTAATATAATCAAAATAATAACACCACAGCTCAGCAGATTGTGTCTGTATTTGTGTGGTAGCTCCAGTGTTTTGTGAATTGGTTTGCTGTCTGAGGGTTTCAGTGAATGGGCCTTTGTGTTCAGTGTGGTTTTGGAACGTTTACTTACATTCTTGAGAGGGTGCATTTTCATTCAGAAAAAATCCTGCGTGCTCTGCTCCAAGCTTATGACCACTATACATGGTCAAACTCCACCCACTCTCCTTACCCTCTTTCCCCTCCCACTCTCTCTCCCCCTATCCCTCTTTCCCGCTTTCTGGCTGTAAGCATTACTGGAGGGTCTTACTCACTGCTCACTTCCATTCTGTCACTTCCTCACTCGCTCACTCACTCACACTGAACTCCTACACAAAAGCTGCTCTTTTCCTTCTCTGGCTGAAGCTACAGTCCTGATCTGAGTCCTTTTCTCTTTTCAGGATTTCATTTGGTTTACTGCAATCGCCTGGACTTGAATGTGAATCTACTGGATTTTCTGAAGATGCTGACGCTCTGTTTGTAAGGAGGTCCCCTCAGCTAGCAGCTACGTTCAAACACAAGTAAGACATTTTCAGCGTTCTAGAAGTGTAGGAGAAATTTACTGTGTAAGGCTTTTCACGATCATGACATTTTAGCTGTCAATGCCATATAAATGATTTTGATTAACAATGTGTATATGGCTAAATTATCTGAATTGGCTGATTGGCTGTCTTGTTACCTTGTTGATATTTAGTAGCTAAAATAAACAAACATTATTCACTGCCACACTCTAAAGGTGTTGAACACCAAATAAACATTACTCACAGCCGTACACTAAAGGTGCGAGTAACAAACATCAAACAAACATTACTTACTGTCACACTCTAACAGTGTCAATAACAAATATTGAGCAAACAAACAGTACTCACTGCTACCCTTTAAAGGTGTTATTAACAAACATTAAATAAACAAACATTACTTACTGCCAACCTTTAAAGGTGTAATTTAAAAAAAAAAACTTTGAAGCTCCAAGTCATAATTATATTGTAAAAGCAATGTATAATATTAGAATAAACACAAACAGATAAAGACAGATACATTAAAAAGTAAGACGAAGAATTTCATTTTATAAAGTTCAACTGATTCTTTTATTTTTATTTCTTTATTTCTTAATTCCTAATCTTAACAAGCGAATAATTATTTGTTTAGATATACTGTCGTATGTAAAAGTTTGGGCACCCCAATTAAATTCCATGTTCTGTTGATTTTCTAAGTGAAAATAATTTCATCCTCTACAGAGAACACACGTTTTTGCACATTTAAATGCAGAACTACTGTTTATAAAATAAACATAAAATAAAATATAAAGATATAAAATGTGCCTTTTATGTTGTCCTTTGTGATTTGACCACAAACTTCTGAATACGACTGTAGCCTAAAATCTGATTTTCTCAGGTGACCTCACACTTTTGCGCTGTACTCTACTGCTAGTTTCCTCAGCACTCTAAATTTAACTCAGAACCAGTTTGTTTTTCTGTGTTTTTCCTTCTGTCATGCTCTTTCTTTCATTTAACGCTAAAGGAGTGAGAGTGGCTGGAAATTCAGGGATGCACTAAGTTGTCTGTCTAATGACTGGCTGGAAAGTGTTGTCTGAAGCTTGACAATGAAAGTTTATGGGCGGTTGAGCCCCCTGTGGGGGTCGTAATGTGGGGCTTATGGTTTTTGAGACACACACATCTGTTATGTCTGTGGTTTAGCATTTGGTCACCCAACATCTCCTGAACTGGATTAAACTGTGGCAGTTTGGAGATATTGACAGCCATTAGCTAATTAATGCTAACCCTTACTGTAGCTAATCTCTAGCTAATTAATGCTGTGCACTATGCAGGCTTAGTTAATTCATGCTAAAATTGACTACACAACCTCTATTTAATTCATACTCATATTTACTATACAGCCCCTAGCTAGTTCATACCAACGTTTACTATATTTTTCCTAATCATACAGTTGTTCCTTATAGTTTTAAATATAAATACATTTCTGCTTAAGCTCCTAGTGCTACTATTTAGCAATATATTGACTTTCCAGTGAATTTATATAACAAACAGACATATTTAAGAGACACATAGGTGTATCAGATGGCATTCTTATAATAATAGTCAGCACTTTCCTGTGAGGAATGATGTTGGTGGAAGTGTTATTATCAAGCCCTTATCCTTCCTTAGCTACACATCACCAAATATAAATGAAACTCAAGAGCATACAGATTGTTTATGGCATTACTGTGTTTCCTCAAAAATACACTCACGTTAAATCTGTGAAAAGCACAGGTAGTGTCAAAATAATTGTAATGCAGGACAAACAAGAATTCTAGTGCATTATTGCAATTTACAGGGTCCATATCCTACATTTTTCTTGTGTTTTTTTTTTCTATTTCTATTTTATTTTTAAAGACGTGTGTGTGTGTGTGTGTGTGTATTCTGGTTGGCTGTCTTGTACGCTCATTAAGGACCACCTGTCACTTGTTTATAGAAAGTAGATCATTCTTTATAGCAGTTTTATCATTCTTTGCTGTGATTTCGTGCATAGCATTTGTTGCATCTTTGCTGAGAGAGAGATATGTTGGACAGAGTAGAGTGGGTAGTGGCACATTTAAGGAGGGCTGAAGACTCACTTCGGTCACCCACCCTGCAAACGCCACTAGGACAAACAGTTCTGATAGGACATGGAGCAGAGCTGGGTGACACGGCAAAAAATATAATATCACAGTACTTAAGGACATTTTCCTGATAGACAGTATGTCACAATGTTTATTTTTTCTGACATCTGGTTAGTTGAACTAGACAGAGCAGTGTCACATTTAAAAAAAACACTAACAAAAACTTGGAATTAAGTGGTTTGTATTTAACATTTCTCACACTGTGCTGCACTAAACCCAGTTAAATAGTTCTGCTCTCTTTGTAATCAAACCTGCAGCTGGTCAGTGTTTCTAAGCATGATGATATCTATGACATGCTCAAAAAGCAAATTGTGACTATTCACCACAATAACCATAAGTACTGTCATGTTGATAAGCTCTTAACATAGATCCAAATGCGTGAGTTTCATTCCTGCTACGTCAACGTTTACTTGATAAATCTGTTTGCATCACCATTTTCGCATTTAACCTTTATCGGCGTGTCGCATCTCTTGCAACATTTAGGCATTTTCCCCCTTTCTAGCTCCCAGGTTTTTTATGCGTATTTTCAAAATGTGCAAAAAATTGGATGGAAAACACTACAGTCATGTCTGGTGCTCTGTCATGTTCGTTCTGCCTGGAGAACAGCTTAGCGAGTGTGAGTGGAATCTCACAGTTTCAGATTATGAAGTCTGTGTGTGGGTTTAATTGCATGTGCTAAAAATAGCTGCACATGCAGTGAGCAAGTTCTTGCATACAGGCTCTCATTTTTTTTAATTAGAGTTACATAAAGTGAAACATGCTGTCTAGTCTGTGCATGGTGCAAAAATCAGTGTCACATTTTTTAAAACTCCATTTAATTTTTAACTCTACTATTTCCCTTTTTACTTGTTGCTGTGTCTGTATGTGAGCTACTGCCAAGGAGGGCCCGACTGATCTGAAACTCTTAAATTTATAATGTTATTATAGTTTAGATTTCAATGCTTTGCTTTTAGTTTTAGTTAAACTGTGCTTTACTGACAGATAGACCTGTCAGTTCTCAGTGGTCACACTCAAATAAACAGCAGAAACTATTTTATATAGTCTAACATATATAGTCTAACTTATATAGGATAGTAGCACTAGGGGCGAAGCTACACAGAATTTGGCTTATATATACAGCTTATGTAAATGCACCTGTATCAAATTCAGTTTTTACTAATACACAAATGTCTCAGTAGTTGCAGCAGCCTATTGTAACAATGTATTAATTACAACCTTATAACAAGTTACAACAAGTACACGTGTAATAGAGTGGACTGTTGTTTTTCCAACAATACTTTTTTGATTGTAACTGGAGCGGTGTTATTAGATGAACAGCAGATGGACATATGTTTAAATGTAAATTTTATATTATAATCTAAAATTTGTCTTGCATTGTACTACTGCAAAAGAAATGTCTCAAATTACCAGTTTGAAATGTCACTGTATATATATACCAACTACACAGGAACTATCCAGTTAAATGAAAGTTCCCACCAATGGGTCCAAAGTTTTACTACACACTTCTATAACCTAAGAATAACTCAGCCAGCTTGCATTGTAGTCCATGTATTTACTTACTAAAAAACCTTAGTGTGTAACAAGCCTGGGTTGTAAGCTGCTTGGAAAATCAGCAGTTGACCCTGTCACATGTGTATTTACATTAGAGAAAATATCCTGTTATAGAAGTCAAGATATACTTGTGTAATTACAAGAGTAAAAACTGAAGTTGCTGCACATGCGCTGTAATCCATCTTTATCAGTGAATACATCACAAGTAGTTACATTGTTGTTGCATGTTATCATGTGTAACCACCCAGTTATTAGAGACACTTATAAAGTGGGACAGAATGTTCTTTTTTCTCAGTAGCTTAGCTTCTTTAACTAAAAGAGCAGACTTTAACTAAAAGAGCAGAAACACCCAAAATGTGATGTTGCCAACAACAATACTTTTACCTGATTGTTACAAATTAATCTAGATCTCTGTTCAGTCTAGGCATTTTCATTACAGAGCTAATCATTAATGCTTTGGTAAAACAATGCAGGTTGCCCACATACAAAAACACTTCAACAGCAACTTAAATCTCCTTAAACCTACCTTAACATTTTTTTCTTAAATACTAATGATACCATTTCTGTGGAGAGGAAGAACAGTTATTGAGAACAGTCTGGAAAATGGAACAAAATCTGTCTGAAAAGACAAGCTCCTTTCAAGTACTGTCTTTCTTGGACAAGAAAACCAGTTCTGATTGTGATTGTCATGCCACAGTGTTTATGCCTGCATTTACTTGCTGACAGTATAAATCGTGTTCAGAGTCAAATAGCAGCAAACTAACACATGAACTTAGTGAGTAAGAAGATATTTGTGCCCCTGATGTAAATGACTGTGGCGTTGTTTCACCTTTAAGAGACACGTCAGCACAGTACTGTGGGATTCCACCTATTTGTGGTCAATTCCACAGATTTTCCAATATTTCTGCATAGTTAAGTGGGTAAATTGTAAACAAATTCATTCAGAGTGGTTGGTGTGAAATACTCTGTTCTATGACTCTGAATGAGTTTGTTTACGTCTCAACCACTGAATTATGGAAAAAACATCTCAAAATTGGTGGAATTCCCCTTTAATCCATGCTACCAGCTGGTGTCTTAGTGCACTGTGAGCTGGTGGAGGATCTAGTTGAGCCTTCAGAAGTTCAGTAGTGATTTTCCTGAGTCAGTTCATGTTACTCTGTACACATTCCTCTCATAGCTGTGTGGAGGCTGGCGGAGGAGAGGGGAGAGAGGGGCTTATGCGCACGACCTGCTGATCATGGTGTCTCATATTATTGTTTTGGTGGATTATGTGCTGACTTTGAAATCTGCTTGCAAGAAGTAAATGCAGATTAAATTTTAGAGGTAATGCCAATGTTATTAATGTTATCAGTACTGAATAATTGTGTTACTGCAGTGGTATTTAAAGCAATATTTTGACAAAAAAAACACACACCCCCAATAGCCATGTTGTTGACTTTCCGTCAGCAAAATGTGTAGAGCAGTCAATGTCGTCCATGGCTCCAAATCTAGATGTCAAGAAAATTCAGTTTAATCGGCGGTGTTGATTTGCACAAAATCAGTGTTATCTTTGAGTGCTGATCATGCGTTATTGCCCATGACAACATATCCAGACATCTACAATTATCTTGTTAATACTGAAGCAGTTTACACATCATAGGAACTAAAAGCTGGCAAATGTCTAGAACATAATTAATGTTTTTTCATCTGTAGAAGGGTCACTGATATTTTGTCTTTTGTGCCATCAAACTTCATCATGATTGCAAAAATTAGTAATAGCTGATGTTACAAATCTGTGTTTGGTGGGGTTAATCAGTGTTGATATGAGGCCTGTAATGTTTTGCTGTTCTCTCAATTGTATTTATTGTCTAGCTAAAGTTTATGAGATAAACATAAATAGTATGATTTAAAAAGTCAATCACCACTCGTTGCTGTTGTTACTACAGCCATGAACCACACAGCACCCCGTGTTTTTATTTTATATGTCAGGATGCTTTATTAACTATGTTCAAACCATGGCTTCACAAGTGCTGTTGTCATTGCTGTCATCACCGCATTGGCCGGAGGTGTGTCAGCAATATTGCGGTGGTGACAAATGTGTTGTTAATTGAATACTGTCTATAGGTAAATCTACTGCCTCACAACAACTAAATTCTGTATTACTGATTAAAAATACTGTCCTTTTAGTGGAATAATCTGTCTGTAATGCTGCTTGCATTGACCACCAAGTGAGATGAAGTAAGAACCAGGTTCTGTTTAAACTGAGGGACTGACAGTTTAATTTCTTAACTAGAACTCGACTGATAAACTAGCTAACAGGCTGAAAGATAGTTCACAGGCTACAAGACCGCTCACAGGCTAAAAGACAGATAACAGGCTGAAAGATTAACTAAATGTCTCCTCCATTGATATTACTTGCTTTGATTTTAAGTACTTAATACATGGTTTACATAAACACCCAAGACATTCCAGTATTTTTAGTTGTTTTTTGCTCTTTTTTTTCCTTTTCATAAACTGAGTGTACAGATGGCAGTGGCATGCTTTCAGGGACATCTGCTTCTGTTGTTTTGCTGTCTTTCTGCTTCTGCTGTTTTTCTGTTGTTATTAGGTGCCAACAGGCCTGTGGTGAAGACGTTCTTGGGCGTTTTAATGCTTCACATGAACAGAGATTATGAATCTCATGTCTAATATTCTGAGAAACTACGAAATAGTTCCACATGGCCAGTCTTTTCACTGCTCTGCTGACAGGCCTGAATTTAGTTTCAAAACATACCATGCACTTTCCAGTCCATGCAGTCCATATTTTGAAAATAAGCAGCAAAAGCAGCCTGTTTTGAATTCACTGTTTTGTGTCACAAGAACCAATTCATTTACATGCAGAAGTATGTAGACACCCCTCCTAATTATTCAGAGTTCAGATGTTTCAGCCACTTCCATTGCTCACAGGTGGATAAAGCCAAGCACGTAGCTCTGCAATCTCCACAGACAAATATTGCCAGTAGAATGGGTAATACTGAAGAGCTCAGTGACTTTAAACACGGAACTGTCATAGATGTCACCTTGGATGCTCTTTTGACTGAATGTTGACAAATTCCCCTAGGCACTCTTTAAAATCTTGTGGAAATTCTTTCCAGATGAGTGAAGGCTGTTATAGTTGCAAAAGGGGGTTCAACTCTATATTACTTCCCATGGCTTTGGTATGGAAAGTCCAACAACCTTATTTGGGTGCAACGGATAAGTGTCAGCATAGTTTTGGCTGTATAGTGTATGCCCACCTATACAGCAGTTTAGCCCTGCCAAAGAGTATTTCAGCTCAAAGTACTTCTTGAATGAGGCACAATGCAGGACAGTCAATAAGAGCAGAGCTTATTTGCATGTAAGACACAAACATTTTATGTGGACATTTGAGTGAAAAGTGTAGTATATTGACCTTTTAAAGATTAATAACTGAGTAATAAACTTTAATGACTTGTTCTCTGTTTTATTCATTTTCAGGTTCTGCATGTATTGCCTTTAATCAGAATGCAGTGAGGAACCACCCATACGCAAACACCATGCTGTGAGGTTATAATGGCGTCTGTACTGGCCAATGGGACACGGGGGGGCCAGACTGTGGTCCTGAAGGGCGTGGACCCTGAGACATGCATGATTGTCTTCAAGAACCACTGGGCTCAGGTAACTGTTCTCCATATAGTCTTCACAAATAGGACTTTTTACTCCTTAAACATCACTGACTCATTACATTCCTTGCTCTTATAGCTTAATAACGCAGTCATTTGCGTTGTTTTGCATGTAGTAACAGGATGATGCACCTTAAGGCTGTTACGCACTTTGCACATCGTACTCAGGCAATTAATTAGAGCATGTGTGTAACTGATAATATCTTGCACACCAAACTTGACTTCTCAGACAGCGAAAATACGACATTGTATTCGCCCTCTGTTCAACTTTTGGAAACTTTCACCTGCACATGAGCTCATGACTGACTAATGACCAATAACAGCCTCTCTGCCATGGCATGTGGGCTGTGTCCCAGCAACTAGAATTTGTTCACAAATGTTAAAAGCAACAGAATATCTAAAAGTAGCTCAAACTAGGCTAAGGACATCTGAATTATATATTAAGTTTCAGCTGAATGAAACAAGACAAACAATAGAGAAAAGCTCTCTATGCTGCTCTGTTTTCTAATAAGGAAAGTAGCCCAGTGTCACTGTTTGCTTGTGAAGACTTTACATCCTGCTTTATCTCATGTGGAGCTGGATCTCTAAAATCAGCTCAAACTGAGTTAGAGATCCCAGCTAAAAAGCTGTGTTTGAATATTTTACTTTTTAATTTCAATTATCTGTGCCCTGTTCTGTAACATAAACATGCATGAATTTTATTTAAACATAAATGCATTGCTTTTTGAGGCAGAAACTAGCTAAATCTATTCTATTATAAATGTATTGTCCATTGTCTGTTTTATGGGTGTTAAATTGTTTTTGGCTTTGTTGTAAAAATCACAGGGTCAGTCCACATATGATAGATGCTCATTAACCAGAAAAAAATACATTGATTTAACCATGTTCCATGTGTATACGCTCAAATACAGTGTATGATTTCTGTCAAACCTTAAAAGAGTAACAAAGCACCTCAAAGCACCAGACTGTGATGTGTGGAAAAAAGGCATTTCAGTAGCGGCAGCCTTGTAAGGATTAAATTTCAAACATTAGAGCCTGTAAAGAATGCTGAAATGCCCTTTGCTTTGCTTCTGCTGGCAGTGCTCATGGCTTCTTTTAAAGGACCACAACTGTTTAACTTCCTCAGGCCTAACCTAGTTATCTAGCTAACTCTGAAATAACCTTGGACTGACTTGTGAGAGTGCTAACGCCAAAAACAAATGAGACAGGTCACACTGTCAATGTAGATGAAACATATTCAGCAGAGTTCACTGATGAACACGGTTGCCTGATCAGGATTTCTATTGCAGGTGTAAATTTCTGCCATCTCAGTTTAGAAAATTTCAAATGTCACCACACTTTAATCAATGTAGTCATTTTGGTGTAAATCAGGAAAATGATAATAATAATTATTATTACTCATTCAACATTTTGCTGCTCTATTTTCGCTTAATTAATTTTTACAATGATCATTTTTCAATCTCTCTTCAACCTTTACAATTAAGCAGGCTGTTTTTCTTACTGTGTCTTTAAGACTGTTATATGCGAATCAGCTCTTTTTGTCATTAGCTGCCCTGTGTTGCGGCTCATTCAAATAGCGGTCTAGGCTGAAACACTCCTCACAATTTCAGTTTGAATGAGTGGGACTAAACTGCTGTAGGCTGATGTGTTTTACTGCTGAGCTGACCTGGGATCAGCAGATTGTGTTTGTATAGCATGTGGGCTTTTGACCTGGCATAGTGACCCAGAACACAGCTTACATTGTTTTGTGTACAAGAGCACTGAGAGGAGAGTCAGAGAATGGGCCTCTATGGCAGACTCTAATGTAATATAATGCATACTTCAGTTTCTGACCACCAGATCGTGTTTGTATTAGAAATAACATATATTTGAGATTTATGTATCAGTTGTACAGTGACTCTTTCAGTAAAGAGTCCTGGCATAGAGCTGCTTCCACTTTTTATAATTCAGTTTTATAATTCAGTCTACTTGGACTATGACTCGTATTCACAGTCAGTCATGTGTCTAGAACCTCCAGAAGGACTACTCAAGAAATTAGTTCCGCCCATTGTAAATCAGATCTTCCAAATTATGTTGGTAGTTAATCTAACCTGTCAGGCCTTCAGTCCAGCTCATAAAGTTCTAAACAATGGGAGAGCTCACTTGGCTGTATCTACCTAGATACCACTGAGAAAACAATCCCGATTTTATTGTTTTCACTTTCAAGAATTTAATCCTTTCATTTCCAATCAAAACTTAACAATGAAATACTAACATTACCACAATACTTTCAATCTTTAAGTACAAACATGATGATTTATATTCAATAAAAGCTGTAAATTACAGATATGGAGTGTTAGTTTCCAGAAATCTTTTGGCATCTAATGTATACATATAAATACAGCAGTGCACCCTTTATCTGTGTTTTTAAAATGAGTATAAACTCAGTACATGGTTATGCTAGCCTGAACAAATGTGTTTTAGCTGGCAGCTGCTGATAAGGATGATAAGGATGCGTTGATAAGGTTCTCCTCTTCCTCTTCATGGAACCCTGAGGTCATGCAGTTGTGTTTTTAATTACTCACCTGTTTGTGCCATCCCCACCCATACACCTGACTGGGCTCTGTCTCCATGGTAACGGAGCTGCCGTGCCAGTACACAAGGTTCATTGTTGTCCTCGTCCTGATTCAAACTGTGGCTCTGAGTGAATACAAATTGCATTATAGCTGGACAGTAAACGTCCTCCAGTCTGCTCTGGGAAGGGGCTACCTTTTGACCTAGTATATTGAAGTTTTCAGAACACTGGAAACACAGGGCAATAAAGTATTTAAAGCATTTTTTTTTATGTTAAAATTGAAAGAAGCAGCAGTCCTGTGATGCCGGGTCGACAGTTTTTTGGATTATATTATTTGTCTTTGTGTATTAGCATGCACTCAAAAAGAAGGTCTGACACAATGTTAAGGCCTGAAATGCAAAATCAGCATCATACAGATGAAAATATGATGGCATAATATGATAAGATAATTCACTCACATCCTCAGAAGACATAATGTTCACCAAGTTTTGAATGAGATTTCTTTGAATATTCTTTATACGCTCACAATTATCAGATTCATCTGCTTGGGGAAGGGGTGCAAAGTATAACCCATATACCAGAAAGTTCCTCCACACATTGCATGCAGTTATAGGTTTCTACCAGAGAGGTCTGCAAACCCCCAAATTTACAAAGATGCTAAGTGTTTAAATAGAGTAGAACAGAATTTGTGGCAGAAATACCATACTTTTAGTGAGTCTTGTTGGAGTTTTTCAAAGAAACCAAAACTGTGCGTTTACAGTTTACATTATGCAATTATGCAGTTACAACTATAAAACAGTAACTATAATTACTATTATTGTTAGTAGTGGTAGTAGTACCGGAGCAGCGGTGGAACCGTGTTGTTTTTGTTAAAAGGGAATTCCACAAATTTATCAAAAGTTCTTGTGAATTCAGTGGTTGAGGTATAATCGAAGTCGTTTAGAAATGGTTCTTTGTAGAGACTCTAGTTATTTACAGTGGTGGTGATAGGAACCAGGGGTCACAATGTCTACAACACAAATAAAGCCATTTTATTCACTATCCAAAACCACCAGTGAACCTACACGTGTCTTCTGAGTTTTTATTTGTAATGTTGATGATGGGACAGTAATGTAAAATCTGAAAAAATTGTTTTCAGGGACTGTTTTGCTCACCACACCCTGCATGTACGCTTCACTATGAATGAAATGTAAAAAAAAAAATTGTTTACACCCAAAAACCATTGTAAATCAATGTCTCAGACATCAGGCAGCGTATTCAAAAACATTTCATGTAATAACTTTCTATGAGGGAGCTTTTTGAGGTGGACTTCTGGTTCCTATCACCACCACTGTAAACAATTCAGACTTGGTAAGTTTCTCTAGAACGGAGCATTTTACACCGAACCACTCTGAATGGCTTTATTTACATCCTAACATTTTAATTTTAGAAAATAAAAATGGTGGAATTACCTTGCTTTGTAATAGTGTCCAATGCTATTAAAATGATATAAACCAAATAGGAAAGGTTTTGTTTATTATAAAAAACAAACAGATAAAATTTCTTTATAAAACCCGAAAGGCTGAATGATATATTTGTGTTCAATTAGAGACTAGTAGAGGGATTTTGTGTATTTTGAATAATAAGTCATAGTATTTTGCTTGATTTCTACAGCATACTTTAATAGTACTAGACACTGCCTCTAAACAATCTCTTAGCTGTAGGTTTGTGTTTTATGAAAGCTATGCTGTGCTTTGCATCTGAACTCTCTCTGTGATTAGGTGGTGAAGATTCTGGAGAAGCATGACCCCTTACGGAGTGGTCTAGGGACTGGAGGCCCTGGTCTGGGGGTCGGAGGTCATGGAGGCCCCCGTTTGGGTGCAATTCCCAGTGATGAGGCGAGCGCGGTGCAAAACTATGTGGAACACATGCTGTTCCTGCTGATCGAGGAGGAGAGCGGCCAGAACGGAGCAATGGGGCCCATCCTGGAGTTTGTGGTGATGGAGAATGTGATGGAGAGGCTTTTCGTCTGGAGCCTCAGGAGAGAGTTCACTGACGACATGAAGCTAGACCAGCTGAAGATGTACGAGATGCTGATTGCTCAGGCCAGGCAGCCGCTGCTGCACCACAAACCCATCCTACGGCCGCTGATGATGCTGCTGTCATCCTGCTCTGGCTCAGCCGGCACAGTGGTACAACACAGTTGTTATCACTATGGACAGTCATGTGCAAAAGTTTGAACACCCCTGGTCAAATTCCATGTCCATGTACCAACATAGATGTTAACAAATAGCAGAACTCTAATATTCCCACACATAACATAACTGAACTGTTGAACATGTTGGACGATGTGATGACCTACCAACATAGATGAGATTGTTCTGTAAATGCGGCTGTTGAGCTGTGCAGGTACACCCTTAGAGCACAGTGTCAGGTTTCACACATAAGACAGAACACATTCAGCTCTTGAGAAAAACACATGATTAAAATCATGTCTCAGCTCTTATACAAACACGCGAAACAAACCATTTTAGATTACTTAAGGTGAAATAGCTTCAGATTAAGCTTTAACTCACCAATGGTACACTAACAATATGCGTCCACTATAACTTGGCTTTGCCATATCCAATTCATTTTAACAGAGAACTCTGCCACATCGCCATATGCATGCTGCTTTGAGGTTCCGTAAATTCTGTCATGAAATTGTGTAAAGGGCAGCTGGAGTTTTCAAAATGTGTGAATAAATAATACAAAAAAATGAAGTAAGGTTTTCATACACCAGCAAGAAAATATCAATTATTTTAGTCAACATTTTGCAAGCCAATCATTAACTGTCTCACATCAAGGGTTCACAATTATGTATATATTTTGCAAGGCATATTGCTGTCACAGTTTATAGCAATATAATCGCAATTATATGTTTTGTCTGTATCGTGCAGTCCTGCACACCTGGCACAGCGGGCAGTGTGGAGGCTGAGCTGGTCCTGCTCCTGAACCAGCTGTGCTGTGTCCTGTCCAAAGATCCCTCAGTCCTGGAGCTGTTCTTCCACACCAGTGAGGATCAGGGTGCTGCTAACTTCCTCATCTTCTCTCTGCTGATCCCCTTCATCCACAGAGAGGGCGCTGTGGGGCAGCAGGCCAGAGATGCCCTGCTTCTCATCATGGCACTGTCTGCCGAAAACCACGTGGTGGCCAAACATATCGCTGAGAATACTTACTTCTGTCCGGTAAGTGCTGCCTGGTTTTGCCTTGTATTATGTAGGCCTGCAATGGTTAGTCGTCAATCATGGGAAAAGCCTGATGAAGCCGTTTAGCGCTCTTTAGTGCTCTATAATGTTCATATGATCGACACAGTCATTCTGACAGATTGTAATACACTACAGGAAGTTTAGGAGGCGATGTGGTGTCTTTGTGTTGTACATTTGCATAATGCATGTTATTTGTAAAGTTTGAGCAGTATACATGTTATTTGAATATGCATGCTGTTTGAAATATGTATGCACTCGCTGTACGATAGTATGTTTGGACAGTGTGTGTAGTATGTATGTACAAAAAATACAGGGAGATTCACTTGAAAGAGGCCCCGAATATTTTGTTGTAACTCCCGATGAAGCAATCTGAACCAAAAAAATACGCTACATACCTTAACGTATGTGTAATCGATTGTATTGCATGCGATGCTGGAAGTGATCTCCGTTTTCTGCCAGACACATGAAGGGGTATGGGGGTATGCACCTGGAAGTTGCAAACAGGGGTTAAACGTCGCCGCGGCTGTCCGGCACCTACCTCATCGCTCCGACGCAGGGGCATCCCAGCTTGTTCGAAGCTCCATATACTGAGGAGCACATTGCACATTTGTTTCGTTCAGATTGCTTCGCCCTAGCGAGAGTTAATACAGAATATTTGGGGCCTCTTTCGAGTGAATCTCCCTGTATTAATTCGAAATGGGCTGTTTTCCATGATTTCTAAGGAAAATTAATTTTTTCATGATATGGGCCCTTTAAAGATTTGCTGACTTGATTTCCTTTTAGGACGTAGAGCCTTACATAGAGTAATAATGTAATGTGTAGTGTGATCTCTATATTATGATATACCACTTTTAGTGCTGAGTATGAGCTGTTAATCTTTTCAAAAACCTGTCATATTTTCCTCAGATGGTGTGTCACAAACTGGGACCTTGATGAGTTAACGCGACAATAACCAAACTTATTAATTCTCCATAATAATCCACTATTTTAATTGTAAAAGTGAATAAAATAATATTATTTAATATTATTTAGGGAGCTGTTTAAAGTAAAATTTATCCTGTAGTTATTGGCCAGTTCTCTTTCCCAACACAGTGATTATCACCTTTGAAGCATCATCACCATAATCATCATCATTGCTGAAAACTCTATTAAAATAGACCTGGTTAAGTGTTATTAAATTAGACTCAGATTCAAAACCAAATTCTTAAATAACTAATATAAAAAGTTAAGATGAATCTTTTTCAATTCAGCGATAATGTGTAAAAGTGGTCGCTGTATGCAGAGTAGGTAGCTGGTGACTAGCTAGAATTTTACATAATTCTTGAATACATATTTTTTTAAATTTATTATACATTTTTTTTAAGGTTGTTGTTCATTTATTTTAACAGCTAACAAAGAAGATAAATATATTTAAATTTCCTCTTAACATATCTCAGACTGCTCATTTTTAATTTCTCACTTTTTACTCATTTCTTAATTTCTACTCAAAATGCTGATCTCAAACCAGAAACTGAATGCAGTTTAACGCATGACTTTGTTTAACGCACTTGTTTAAATGCATTAATGTTGTTATTCAGCAGTTGGAGAGAGAGAGAGGGAGTTTGGCCTGTTAAGTGAACAGGCTCATCTTAAAAACAGAATGATAATGCTGAACAAATCAGACATGTTGGCTGTGTATCGAATTACACATTATTGTTTAACAATGCAAAACAAACATGCTGGAACTGGCTGTACAGGCTTACGTGAGAAACAAACCTGTTATAAATGAATCATAAACAGCCTCTTGTTTAGGGTTCATAACCAGTATGTGACTGGTCACTGTTTGATATTTTATGCTGGCAGCCGTTGTACTGCTCATTTTGCAGATCATGATGCTGTAGATTAATTATACATTCAATCCCACCTACTGCACATTAGTCAGAAATGTTCTGCTTTTTCATAGACAGAAATCACACTGTATCAGAATCAGAATCTGCTTTATTTTGCTAAGTGGGTTCCCAATATGAAGAATTAGTCTTGGTGAGCACCCATATTAATGATCCCAAATAAAAAAATATGGCTTTAACTACGAGGAAAAGAAAGATTGTTATCATTGACGTGGTAAATTAGGTCACAATACACTTTTCTGAGCATATGTGTATGTCATCAGTACCGAATGCTGACTAGCTACATATTTCATTACAAAGTTAAGCCTTAGGCCTATTTAATTAGATTTAGTGCAGTGCAGTTTGTTAAACGTGAGATAAAATGTCATTGTAGTTATTTTATCATTTATTCTTCTTATTTTTTTTTCTATTATTATTATAGTATTTTTTATATGTGGCACTACAGGTTCTGCTTTGTCTGTTACAACTTATTTATTCTTTAAAAAACTAAATATTGTGATGCATATTGTGTACTGTGAAAATATCTTGAATACCATGAAAATATTTTGCCATATCACCCACCTCTAGGTGAATATGTACATTTGTGCAGGATCTGATAAGACATATAATCCAATATTAATTATAGCACACAGTGGGTCAGATTTACTAACGTGTTGTGCTGTTGCAAATACTATTTTGGTGTTGAAAAAGTGACTTTTACTACATAAGTGCAGAGGACCTTTACTGTCCATAATAAGATCAAAGGGGGGGTCACTGCTCTTTTGAGTTTTTACCTCATTTGCATATCAATTTCTAGGAGTTTCCCTCTGGAAGCACAGAACACTGGGTGGGGATAATTATAATGACTATGTAATGTTAAAGGGGAATTGCACTGGTTTATTTTTTTTCTAACAAAGTCATGTAGAGTGCTTTGATAGTGGTGGAGATAGGAACCAGGGGTCATGATATATCAAAAAACATAACTGCAAAACACCTGAGGGCACCTGCGAGCAAGTCCTCAGTGAATGGGTTGAATGGATCTAAACAGCTGAACACATACAGGGTGACATTAAAGTAGCTGAATTCACTCATCAGAAGTGTATACATTTGGACATAGGATGCAGACACAGACTGATGTGAGCATTTGCACAGGTACAGTCAAGCCAAAACTTGCATGGCATGCTTGGGTGGTGTTATATAATGGCATTAGGGGATTTAACTGCATTAAAACTTGTGATGATTCAGGTGTCAGTCTCATCTGTACAGTGTGTACACACATCATGCACACCCTTTTCTTGACTGTTCTGACTTGTCTTGCCTCTAAGGGAAATGTCTATCAAAAAGCCATATAAAATAAATAAGATCTGATTGGCTAAGCCACTCAGGGTACGTGCAGATCACTGCACACAGCTAAATTCTGTATAAATGTGCCAGCTTATTAAGAACAACTAAAAACCTATTCTTTTGACCATTTTTTGCTTGGCAACCATAACCTACTGTTGACAAGCTACATTAATTGGCAAAAGAGTTGTTTATTGTGAGTGGTATTGATATTAAAATAAATAATTTGCTTAACATTGATGTATTTTGTCACATTGCATTTATTTTTAATTGTGTTTAACTTTATTTTTTAGTAATAATGTGTATTTTTTTCCTTCCTACAGGTGTTAGCCACAGGTCTGAGTGGTCTGTACTCGTCTTTGCCCACTAAGCTGGAGGTGCCCAGTGAAGACTGGCACTGTTTGAACAGAGAGGACTGGCAGCAGGTGCCTGCTCTCGTCCAGTTCCTCAACTCACTCGAATTCTGTAATGCCGTCATGCAGGTAAAGACAAAACAGCACAGCTAATAACAGCTAATAACAGACTAATGTAGTTGACTTAACAGAAGCAGAAGTTGACAGAAGCTTACCAAAGTCAATAGTTTGACCTCTGAGAATATGAATCAAAACTAGAAGGGTATAGTTTGTGAACAAACTTTAAGTTGGCTTATAACATTTAAAAGTTTAATGCAGTTGTAGACTGCTTTTAACTTTATGTAATACTTAATGGTGGAATGTACTGAGTTGATTTTGTGTGTTTGTGTGTTGTTTTGATAGTACTTTATGTTCCAAGAATATTCTCAGTTATACAGTCATTATACAAATACGCAAATGTACAATATAACCCCTATTTTACGTTTTTAAAGGTAAATTGCACAGATGTAATGTGTTTATATGCTGTTTTTTTATGCAGGTAGCTCATCCGTCTATTAGAAATCAGCTGGTTGGTTACATCTGCAACGGTTTTCTGGTGCCTGTTTTAGCACCTGCACTGCATAAAGTGAGTGTGCGCTGTTTCACAAGTTTAAGGTGGAATATATTTTCCTCACATTGTTTAGAATAACATTTTTTTAAATGAAAATTTCTTTTCTTAATGTATTTCTGTTGTATGTTGTATGCGGATAGACGTAGTTTGTTCTGATGTGTTGGGTAGAACAGCTGTATTTAGTTGTATTTGTTGTTTATTTAGCTTACTGTAGAGGAAGTGATGACCACGACAGCATATCTGGACCTATTCCTGCGGAGTGTGACTGAACCTGCCCTGCTGCACACCTTCCTCAGCTTCATCCTCCTCCATCGCTATGACAGCGTGCACATCCTGGACACGTTGGTCAGCCGCATCAACACACCTTTCCAGGTAGCTAGCATTCAGTACTGTTTGACTGTCATTGCTGTCATAAGGAAACACAGGCTGGCCTTTACACTGTGTGAAATATTCAGTAAAAATAAATCAATTAAATCAATTTTTGGTTTCTTTTTTAATAATAAAGTTAAGAAGCTTCATTATCTCCTGTAAATTGGCTGTTTTGGAGATGTGAGGTTTTTAGACATCATTTCAAAACAACATTACCCCAATGAAGGGTTATAAATTGTTTGAAATGAGTTTATTAATGCTTATTAATTAGTTCATAAACACTTTAAAATAATTTGTATTAACCACAACACATAAATAAAAAGAGCAACAGTGACTTGTTGTTTGCCTAATACTGAACTCATTCATAAGGGTATTATAAGGGTAGTCTTATTGTAAAATGGTACTGTTTTATATTTTTTTTATAACAGCAGCAACGATTTGTCTTTATTTACTAATAATAATTATATATATAATATGCACCTTTATACCTTATTATTTGTTTGCCGTCTCCGCAGACTCAGATTAAGCCTAAAAACACTTACATTTTTCTGATGTTTCAGTTGGGAACGGTCTCTTTGGGTCTTTTTCACACTCTGATCAGCCTTTACTGTGAGGATGTCATGCTTCAGCTCATCCTAAAGTAAGTATTTTCCCGTACACATTGAAATTTCACCAATTGTTAACAATTTCTGCACAATTCCGTGGTTGAGATGTAAACAAAGTCATTCTGAGTGGCTTGATACAAAGTGGTTCACCATCAAGATTTCTTTACAGTGGTGGAGATAGACTTAATGTTACACTCTGGTTATCAGACTTTGGAAAATATTTACTTCTAAAGGTCTAACTGCTCACCATGAGGCCATGAATGACAGGGATGCAGTCTCACTTTCTGCTCTAAACTGCAAGGGCGTGGCTAAAATAAGGCTCTGCCTATGTACTAAAGCTGGGACAGCAATTTTTAAAAATAATGTTTTTTTTTTATTTAAAGATCAAACTTATGATAAATCTAAATCTCCAAACTTCACTTTAAAAGAATTCAAAAAAGTATGAATTCTCAAAAATTGTAACAATTATTTTCACAAGTATAAATTTAGGGGTTAGGGTTTGCAGCCACCTACAAATAGAAAGTACCCTGTAAATGATGATTTTGTATATATTTAGCTGCTTACTATCTCAATTTATGCTTTAGGTTTTAATAGATCACAACAAAGTCCTTATAAGTATCTGAGGTCTGAATACATTGTTTCTTGGAATAGTTTTTACTGTGTGACTCTAGTTAGAACTCAGTGGTCCATATATACCATTTCTACAATGCTATTACCAAGTTTCAGTTTCTGTTTAGTGTGATTTATGATGTGGTTTTGAACTTCATACCCATAAAGATCAACTCCAGTCCTCCACTTCGCAAACCTTGTGACAGGTAGATTCCTTATAGTTCAAATGCGGATTTTTTGTGGACTGAACACAGCCTAAATAAGTATCTAATTTAGCCAACCTGAGGAAACATTTACCTGTCTGGCTAAGCACTTTTAGCCAATAGCTATTGTGTTCTTTAGCTGTTTTCAATTTTCATTAAACCTAAAGCTTTGCTTAAAGAAAAAATAGCAAATGTAAGCCAACATAATTAGCTTAGTTTGCCTGTATACACAAATTCCATGTGATGATTTTGAAGTGAGAATTTTAATGCACAGTTACTGTTAATTTGCTGAATTTCACATATTGGAAAAAATAAATCATAATTACATTTACATTTACGGCATGTAGCAGACACCAGAGCAACTTACAAAAGTGCTTTGCTGACCACTAACAGAATGTATCCGAGCTAGTACAATTAAGTTAGAGTCCAGAGTACCCTTCAGCTAAGACACTGCCAGAAACAAAAGTTAGTGCTGGTACCTAGAAAGAAAGATATGAACTACAGAATTAAGACGTAGCATAAGTGCAATACAACACATTTCAATTAGTCCTAGATTAGTGTTAATTTAACTGCTTCACAAAGAGATGGGTCTTTATTCAGCGTTTGAAGATAGCAAGGGAGTTTGCTGTTCAGACAGCGAGTGGAGGTTTGTTCTGCTTCTTGAAGGATGGTGGGTTAAGCTAAGCCAGACTTGAAGCTTGAAAGGCTTGAGGTACGGATTGAGTTTTGACCGTCGCCATGGGTAGGGAGGGGCTGGTACAGGTACATTTTTGGCTTTGCAGGCAAGCATCAGGGTCTTAAATCTGATGCAGTTAGCTATAGGAAGTTAATGAAGGGAACGCAGCAGTGGAGTGATGAGAGTGAACTTGGAAGATTAGTACTAGCACAGTCTCAGCAAAAGTAAATTAAAACTCAGGGCCTACCTTACCAATAGAAGACAAGTCCAAGTCAGAAAACACAAACACAAACATGGGGCCTGTGCAAAAAGTTATACTGAAGTCATGGCATATTTTATATGTTAGGTTTTTATTCAGCAAATGGAAATTGTGCAGTAAATGTTCTTGCAAAATGTAAATATTTAAGTGTGTTCTCTATAGAGGATGTGTTACCTTAATTTCACATAGAAAATCAACAAGATGTAAGTTGGCGAGGGAGTGTTCAAACTTTTGCATATGACTATATTTAAATGAATTATCCCTGCAGTAGAAGAGTAGAAGTGCTCTTATTTGTGTAGGCACTATAGGTACTGATTGTTGAAGCGCTGATGCCACTGTAAAGGTTACCAAACTTTTACTGGACGGTATTCTTTTTGGCAGGTATCTGATCCCCTGTAATCACATGATGCGGAGTCAGCGGCAGGTGCTGAAGGAGAGAGACTGTTACTCCGTCTCGGCCGCTAAAATCCTGGCCCTCACCCCGTTCTGCTGCTCTCCAGAGATCGTCCCTCCACCTCTCAGACAACTGGACTCTATCCTCTGGTCAAAGGGCACCAGTGGACCCCACTCAGGAATGATGGGTAATGTACACCACTCTACATTTCAAAATCACTTATTACAGAATCGCAGTTCATGTTAATCTTTTTCTTATTTTATTCCATAATATCTAAAATGTGGGTTTAAATGTTACAACCAAATCACAAGAAGGTATTTATGGTTTATTGAGTATTCTAAGTTTCTTGGGAGCATGAAGAGGTTAGTAAGGATTAATAATCTGCTGTAATGTTCTGCCTGAATAATTATCTGCCTTAAGATTTATATTGTAACGTAATTCAAGATATTAGTCTTATTATAATTTTATTATATTAGCTTCATTATATTAATTTCATTGTAACTTCACTGTGAAATAGTAATTTCATTATAACTTTGTCTGGATATTAATTGTATTATAAATTAATACCGGATAAGAGCCTCATTCTAGAAATTCATTTTATTAGAATTTTATTAGCACTTCATACCATAAAATAATTTTATTAGTATTTCATGATAAATATTAATTTTATTAGAGTTTATTGCTGGACATTAATTCTAGTGTAACCAGTAAAACCTTTTACATGAAGTTGTTCAGGTTTTAGGATGTACTGTGAACTGAGACAGGCTGACATAAAATCCATTGTTTTAGTCTTTTTCTCAGAGTCATGCAGTGGTGATTAGTGAGACTCGACAGAATAAATTAGGATCAAATTTGCCTCAGATTACAGAAGCTCTGCTGTTCTCTTTGTTCTCTAATTTCACGCTGTGTTTTCTGCACATTGCAGTGACAGGAACATTTTCACCACCTTTTCTTCTGAATGACCACAGTGTTTCCCACATGCAGAGCTCAGTGACCACATCAGAACTATGAAGCCTGCTTTTGACTTATTTGTAGATACCATAATATTTAGTGTACATTTATAGTTTAATCGAGAATGGAACCCTTTAACTGTCATATAATAATTATAGAAACAACCAAGCCACAATCAAGAATAATTTATACAAACAAAATAACAGTGTAGAAGTTACACACATACTTATTATTCAGTAACTATTATGAATTATTTCGTTTTTACTACAAAATGTTCAGTAACTACTGTATATTATCGAGTAGTTACTATGAATTTTTCAGCAGCTACTGTTAATTATTCTGCTCGTGCTTTGAATTATTCATTGATTACTATATATTATTCCGTAACTACTATTAATTATTTGGTACTTACTATGAATTATTGAGTAACTATTGTGAATTATTCTATAACTACTATGAATTATTCTGTATCTACTATGAATTATTTAGTAACAAATATAAACAATGCAGTATCTACTATAAATTATTTTGTAACAAATATAAATCATTTAGTATCTACTATGAATTATTCAGTATCTACTATGAATTATTCACTATTTACTATTAAACTAGTCCTGTGGTTCTGAGAGTGAGAAATTGAAGTGTGTACCAACATACGGACGCTCAGGGTTCAAGAGGTTAAAAAGTAATGTAAATGATATATATATTAGTTATTGTTGTTACATTTTATGTAAATTCCCATTGATTTCGCAGAAACCAAGCAGTCGTTGTCAGAAGAAGATGACTCCGGCCACTCTTGTGTGATTGGCTCAGAGATTTACCTGGATGTAAGTTACCTGCACTATCTGTATGATGCTCGAAATGGCATTAGCAGCTGCATGCGGGCATGCCGGGTTTGGTCCGCCCCTTATGATGGTGAAAACCCGCCTCCAGACGAGTACCAGCCAAGTACGCTGGAAGAAGGGAGTCGGGTTTGTCCCTCCACTGCCACCCAGAGGGCATCAAAACACCCACAAGGTCAGTCTCGGGTGAACCCACAGACCCTTAATGACCTCACTACTGCCAATGTACTGGAACTGGAGTGGGATGATAGCTATGATGCGTGTCCTGCACAAGCACAACCGGAAGAAGAACAAGTCATTCCTGTGGTGATCCCGGAGGAGCCCCCAAAACACATCCAGGAATTGCGGAGGACGGCAGTCATGATTGTTAAGGGCTCCTACATTGAGGAGTCAGAATTCCAAAACGATGTTATGGTCTACAATCTGGTGGCCCAAAAGGATGCTCAGGACTCTGCTAAAGTTAAACTCAACCAGGTTAACACCCAACCAGCTGTAGAAAAGCCAGGAAAACCATTAAGTAATCCCAGTACTCAGAATTCCGAGTCTGGTTCTCCTGACATGAAACCTCAAATGTGTAATGGTTTAAGCATCTCCAAGATGTCGACAGACATGGAGAACCACTCCAAAGAGAAAGATGGGTTCCAGGTGATGGAGTCCAGGTGTCCAGAAGGAGATGACCTAGTCATTCAGTATGAGGAACTAATTCAGACTCTGGTGGTAGAAGCAGGCAGTCCAACAAAATCAGACAAAGCTTTGAGGAGTCCAGTAGTGGCGATGGAGGAAGAGGAGGATGAAGTAGACTTCAGCTCGTTCTCAGCAGAAACCCCTGAAGCAGAGAAAATCCCCTCGCCGTTTGGGAACAAACCTCGCAGTGGCAGTAGGAACCATGCCATACCTTTTACAGGTGAGATACAGGCTCATTTCTGCATCTTTAGATGTTATTTTATGCTCTGTTTAATGCACATTATGCAAAATAAGACACCATATTGCCAAGAGAGACAATGTAATCATGTTTTAGAGGAAACCAATAGTTTTTCCCCAAGAAATCCTAAACTGCTAGCGTTACACCTTGGACCTGCTGAACACAGGTAAAATCTGCCTAGTGAAAAAGCCAATTCACTTAAAAAGGGAAGGACACAGGAACGCAAAAACAAAATTCTCTTTCATTAGTGTTTAATTTTCCTTCATGAACCTTGGAAGTGTCAGCCAACAGAAAACAAAGGTGAACAGTAGTGTATTTTTTCCAAAGTAAACTAACCTGAGAAACTGCTTCTTGGTCACCATAAAATCTAGTTAACCAGCTAACATTAACCGTTTACCAAACAACATGTTCTCTTCAAAACCACTTCACATCAGTACTGCCTGTACTCAAGTTCACCTTGACAAAGAAAACAGTAAGGTGACAGTCCAGTGTGACTGCATCTTTATTGCCCAAGCAGGGATTTAAACCCCTGCTGCAACATTTTCCACTGTGCTATGCAATTGCTATAAATGGAGCTATAACTCTGTTTATGAGCTCTACAGACCTTGGCATAAATCTTAGATTTTTATAACTTGGTTTAATAGGATATTGGTGCCCCTTAGTGTTTGATTGATGTTTAAAATTATGCAGTTACGCAATGTGTCGCTTTCTTGAAGAGACATAATCGGTGCTTTCAGTGGGATTTCCAGTATTGTAGTGATCGGAGACAGTTTGGAGTTACTGAGGGGAACTTTCCACAAGTGGGACGGTACTGCACTAGAAGGGGCACCTAAGAAAGATGAAGCTCATGCAACTCTAGCCGACCTACAGGCTCTATTCCCGGGGCGAGATGGAGCTTCGTCTTACTGAAACAGATCTTAAATGGCCATGTAAAAAAATATATATTATACACATATACAGTCTGAGAGCAAAAGGCCCTTGTGCTCTGTCTGTGTGAGTGCCCAGACAACCGATTTTGACTTGTCCTGGACTTCACAAAGGTGGTCTTGGCATACTGTTTATTGTGTTTGTGTGTTGTTTCAGGTCCATTTGTGAGCGTGTTGCTCTCTCGGCTGGAGAACATGCTGGATAACTCTCTCCATGTGAACCTGTTGCTAACAGGTATTCTGGCACAGTTAGCTGCATATCCTCAGCCCCTGCTGCGCTCTTTCCTGCTCAACACCAACATGGTCTTCCAACCCAGCGTCCGTTCGCTGTACCAGGTACTGCAATTCGGTACAAACCATAGATCTCTTATCAGTGCAATAAAGAGGCTAACTGGGATCCCAAATTGGCTCTGTATCACCCACCCCTAGTGTAATCCTCTGTAATGACTGACACTGAATGTGTTGTCACTGAAAGCTGTTAGAAATCCCACAAAGAAAAACCACCCAAAAACATGCAGAAACAAGCTCATCCCTCTCCGCTGGAACCTGAGCTGGTTTAACAGTGTTTCTGAGAGCTGTGTCTGCCTGTCATACATAATTAACAGCACAGCACAGTTTGTAAACAAGAAAATCAAATGATACAGTGGCACACACACATCAGAGGAGAGGAGAGGAGATGAAAGCGGAATGATGTTCTGCAACAGTGTCTGGTGCACAGGCCACGTTTAAAGCTCACGCCTGCTTCTGCTTTATGAATGACTCATAAAGAAGCTTCTGATTGGGCTGATGAAAGATGTTTAAGCCTCATTCATGTCTGTCAGCCGATAAAGATTTGTTCCCTTTGACTTGCAATGAATTCAATTGCTGGATGAAAACGAACAACGTTTAAACTGCCAGAAGGATTGTAATCCTTCTCTTTTATGCATTTTCACTTTTTGTAGGTGCTCGCTTCTCTGAAGAACCAGATAGAACAGCTTGCAGCCACAAGGAAGGACTTCCCCGAGCTCCTCACAGCTGCACAGCAGTGCCTACTGGCCAGAGAGAGTTCGCTCAGAGGTCAGGATCTGTCATCTACACATAATACAATCAAGTGCAAAAGTCTAGACCACCTACTAGCGTGACTGGACCAAGGGGACTGGTCACACTGGTAGATAGCCCTGATCAATATTGCAGCCCTCTAAATAAACATTCAGAACAGAAATTTTGAGGTATACTCTGAGCTTTTTATTCAAGAACCCGTGAAGCTTGATTCCTATGTCTTCCAGAGTTCATTTGGACTGTTACAGCTGGTGGAGGATGGCTATATTGACATCTTAACCACTGAATTAAATTTTGAAAGATTTTAAACTTTACCAGGTCCTTTGGCACTATATTTTTAGGTTGAAAGGCAAAGTAGACTGGTAATATTTTATGTTTTTGTCCTATTCTTTTAATTTATTTGTCTCCATCAGAATACAGTGGTTTAGTGTGCTGTTTTCTGAATAATCAGATGGGAGCAATAACTTTTTCCACAGAAATTCTCACAATAAGATGATAAATAAGATAAAAACACATCTCTCTGCACTAAAAAAAGGAAAATAAAAGCTGTGTTTATGTTTTTTTCTCATTGCAAAACAGCTTGAATATTTTCCTCTAAAAGTCCCCGGGACTGAAGAAAAAGGCTTTAATGTTACGCCTGTTTTACTTCTGGACATTTCTACTTTGTTAGTTCTGTACTATGCAGATCATGCAGGTTTTTTTCACCCATTAAAAAATACATTTATGCGGGCAAACATAAGAAAACAATTAGGAGACAATCAAGAAGGAAAATAAGCATGATTTTTAAGAGTAATTAAACTCTTAATGCTCTTAATTGTTATGATTAATGATGATAAATAATTTCTTAAAATTTCATCATGAGTCATTGGTTGTGATGTTCTATAGAAACTTAGTCAGAATTATTCACAGTGGTGGTGATAGGAACCAGACATTCACCTCATTGTTTTATGATAGTTTTGAGAAGATCTAAAACATACATCACTGGTGGTTTTGGATAGTAAATAAAATGGTGTTGTGTTCCTGTCACCATCAATGTAAAGAAATCAGAGTCGGTATGTTTTTCTACAAATTAACCATTTCACATTAAACCACTCTGAGTGACTTTGTTTACATCTAAGCCTCTGAATTATGCAGAAATTTAGAAGTGCACAGTCCATTTTTTCACTAATTGAACAAATTGATTAATCTTTGGCAAATCTCTGTCCTGATGTAGATTTGCTTCCAGGCTCAAACAGCCCTCACAATACGGAGCGGTTCTCAAGTTCTGCTGCAAGCAGGACCCTGAAGAACCCACCTGTCCAGCCCAAGATTGTGGTCCCTCCAAACCGTTCAGAGGTGTATGCCACAGTCATTTTCACAGAGTTCCTCAAAGAGCTGGCGGCTATCGCACAGGAACACTCAATTCTTTCCCATCATACCATGGAGGAGTAGAGCTGCCAGCCATTTCATTTTTTTTTTATTCTTAAATCTGACTTTTTTCTTTATCTTAAACTCTCAGTACTACTAGATGAAGAAGATACCTCTTAAACCGATTGCTGTTCTTTTTTTTATGTTTTCAGACACGTAATGTCAGTTTTCAGCTTTGTCAGCTTTCAGAATTAACCAAACTCTATTTTTCACCAGCCTTATTGGTATGGAGAAATGTTGCAAAGAGTTTCGCATCACAGTGAAAGAGACATGTTGGCCCACATTGGCTGGAAACACAATACTGGTCAACAGTGCTGGAATTCCAGCTCCAGGCAAACACCAAAGACTGAAAGATGAGAAGTTTCAGGCTGGTGGCGGTTGTCCAGAACACAGCAGAAGACACGATTGTAGCGTCCAGCCAGTTTAAATGTACACAGCTCATGCCTTTTGTATCCTCATTCGGCCTTATTACAGAAAGTAGTGCCTTCTTTCTCTCATCTACAATGCTGCAGATATTCACTGGTTCAGTTGACCATTTCTGAAGTCAATACGATGAGTTAATATCACACAGAGGAAGCAGTGGGAGCTAGCACTGCCAGTGAGCATTTCAATCATTAACAGTGAACAAACCTGTAAATTTATGTGTCATTTAATACTATTGGAAAATGTTTTGAAAATCACTGCTATCTTGTACTGTGGGAAACAGAAACTTTCCAAAATTGATACATTTCACCGTATGTACGTTTTCCCCCTGAATGTCTCTGGATTCTTTGTATTATGAGATCATTAAATAGTGATATGTACGACTACTCAAATATTCGGTTAAACATTTGAGATGCCAGTATTCAAATACTGAAATCACTATTTGGGTATTCATTCTATTTTGTCACGTAAAGACAGAGAAACAATACAGACCAATGATACAGTGAAATGCTGATTTTATGTTTTAACAGAATATAATGTAAAAGTTTTGCACATATTTGTGAGTACGTATGTCACGACTGCCTGAGCCTGAGTGCATTTCCAAGGATGTGACCGAGAAGGCAGAAACAGCACACCTTTTATCACTAAACAAATCTGTTGTTAGTTACAGAGACAGTGAAAACATATTCCTCTGACAAAATAACAGGTAGGCTTGTTCATTCAGGAGAAAAGTCCTGTAGAAGGTGATAAGTCTGCATCAGCATCTAGTAGTAGAAGTTGTAATTTTAAGTCATTTGCTGTCCTGAAGGGGTACTCTCCATTATGCTACTCATCTGACACGCAGTCCAACCGATTTTTTGCATGTGTAAGTGTTAGCTTGCGTTTAGCAATTTTTAGATTTTTGATTGCTAAACAACCAGAGACATTTGGAAGAAAAATGTACACGTCGACACAGAGCAGGACAACAAATGCCATTCATTTTCCCACAGAGAAAACTTGCTTAGACTCAGAGTTCCTTTGCAGACTGTAAATTGACAACAAAGGCCAGTTAGCATGGCTTGAACTAGCCTAACTAGCAGTGACAAAATCAGCAAATGTGTTAAGAACATTGTAATGTAATAAGAGGCACTTACTTATAAGTCTGTATACAGAGTCGGATCAAATATACAAACTAACAACATCACATTGCCATTAGTTTTCTAATGCAAAACAGCACTCATCATTCTTATTTAAGCCTTTCTGAGTACCTTACACGTGCATGTTATTTGTTTTAGGAAATTATGTGAATTTAGCACAGTAGTACACATATCGTAATCATTAGTTGTGCTTATTTTTTCAATGGGGAAGGGTATTTAAACAGTTTTCTAGAGAGATTATATTGCCATATTTTTTTCACAGAAGTTGTACTTAAGAGTTGTGTTTGTGTATTTCTCGTGTCTTTTTAGCTACGACTGTTAGGGATAGCACATTAGCGGTGTTAGGCACAGGAGAAACAGCAGGAAGGAGACAGAACAGCATATTCAGTTTGTGGTAAGTTTGTATATAAATGGTGCGAAATCATAGAGCAGGTTATTGTAATGTGCAATACAATTAGAACATCTTTAGACCTGTTGTAGAAAGATATTGGTACAGTTGACCTGTCCACAAATGCATTTATAGCTTCTGTTGTGAGAGTGGGCAAAAATCCTATTCAGTCTAACAAAGAGCTCAGTTTATGAAAATACTGTACATACATTTGGAGTGTGCAGTTCATTTCAAATCATATTTAGTTTCTATGTATGTGAAGGTTCACAATGTTGGGATCAACCTACTGGATATGACAGGTTGAGTTATTTTCATATTGAGAATCAGAGATACTATAAAACAGCACAGGTGCTCTTTACCATCACTGAGAATGCCTTGATTCCTATCTGGAATTTAGGAATACTTTATCTACAATAATAAAATTGAATGAAATCTGGTAGGGGCAGTTAGCATTATGCTAATTCGTCCTATATCTCATCATTTAGACTTCATTTAGATAAAGTATACCACAAATATTTCATATATTTCCTCATTCATACCAAACGCTGACCAGCCTTCAGAGATCAAGCCACACTGTATATGTTCAATCCAAAGATATTTATATGGGTTTTTAAAAATATCAGGTATATTTTTACAGGACTACAATAAGGACAGTTCCACAGAAATCACTAACAATAACATGCAGATACAGCATTTTCTCTAAGTGTTTTGGGAGCAAAAATAAATAAAGGACAACCTATTGAGATGTATTTGTTTAATCTGTAAAAATGACCCTTAAGGTGATCTGATTGAATGTATGTGCTATGAAGCCCTGCTGTAAGTTCAGGTAATGCTGCGTTTGATGAATTCTTTATTTGTGGGGCATCTGAAGCGTGCAAAAAGCCTTTTTGAATAAAGACTTCTTGTCCTCTTACATTTTTCCTGTGTATGTATATTCACTGTATTCAGTGTAATATTTTTCAAAGTGATAGTTTGGCCAAAATACAATTATACAGTTTTCCCCCTTCCCTTAAATTTAAGCAGTGAGGACATCAATGTTTTTGTCACAGAAACCAACTTGTTCACATCTACTTGGCCTTCAGCAGTTCAGCTCCACACATTCACGCTGAAGTTGTGAGGAATGTTTCAGGGCAGACTGCTGTTTAAGCAAGGCGCAATACAGTATCTAAGTCAAGCTTGTAAGAAAAACACAGACCAGTTTTCAGCTTGTAACTTGAACAGCACAACCTCCTGTATAATTTTGAGTGCAGAAAATGCACTAGATTCGTTCATGTATTGGTTGACTAAAACATCACAAAATATCTTTTAATGATACAAAAATATACCTGAGTAAAAAAAAGTATTTAAATGAAAACATACTCAGGTACATCAAATTAGAAAGAAAATGTTTTAACAAATATATGAAAAATTTTCTTTGTTTGGTGGTGTGTTGTGTGCAGACCAATCATAGATATACATACCTAGATGCCCCGTCGGGTCCAGCCAGGCACGTCAAAGGCGCCGTCGGTTTTGGGGCGGTCAACATCGCTGCTGGACTGCCTTCAATACCGTTACAGAGCGGCAGTTTTATAAAGATACCGTCTAAAATTATAGTATTCTAAGAATATTGCACTCAGCGGGATATGATTATATAACGGAGAGGACCCAGCGATCCACGCTCATGTTTGTGTGATGCTTATGTGTGGATATGGTCGTGAGGTTGGTGATGCACAAGGAGCCTGTTGATGTGATGTGTTTTCCCTCTGGTTTATGTTAAGGTTATTTTATTTAATAGTCTATTCAGGGGGTCTTAATTTTATGTAGTAGTCATTTATTTACAATGCATTGTAGCTAGGTAAGTTATAGCAATCCTTAATCTGTGCAGATATTCATAATAGATTAACATTAGCACCTTCATGCACGAACCTGAAGTATTTGCCAGCTTCTTGTTCGAATTTTCCCGTTCCACCTTAAATAATGCAGCTTCAGGCACCAGAAAAGTGGAACGGGACAACTCGAACAAGACGCTGGCGAATAGGAAACTAGCCTAAGCTTCGTCCTTCTTATTGTGTTTGGGGGGTTTAATTTATTTTTATGTGTGTTAAGATTAGAAGTGAATTACACATTTATGGATTTGCTGATTGTGAGATCATATTTCTACCGGAGCTCGCGCTAAACTGGGTTTTTAACGTCAGGTGCAGACTGAATACATTTCTGCTGGTCCAGACGGCTAATTAACATAATAAAAGCTACCAGGAGCAGTCCGTGCAGCCTAATGTATGTCAGAGGATTATAACAAAACAAATTTGGTGAAACTCGATTCAGTAATAAGGAAGTTGTGGCCAAATTAATCCTGAGAATGTATCATCTCTCAGTACAAGTGAATTTGTTCACAAGCGGATCTTGACCGCTTCAACATGGCGGACGCGCAGACGTATCACCTCAGAGAACAACAGACAAGGCGGCATCTAGGTATGTATATCTGTGAGACCAATTATTGCACAAGCACAAATTAGCATGTCTAATTTAAACACATACGTTCAAATTCACAAGAACTTAACTGAGAATGAATTCTGACGTTTGAGATTGGTAACAAGTTCTTGGTCTAAATTAAAATGCAAGGAGTAAAGCATATGATTTTTGTCTTGGAAAACTAATTGACTGAAAGAGTAGTCAATTTTCAGTACTGAGTATTTAATTTTAGTAATACCTAATTACAAATCTGTTAAAACCTAAGTATAGTAACAAAGTACAGTTACCTGCCACCTGGCATGGTGCAAACCGCCTGTATGATGCACTATAAGCATGGAGAAAATTTATTTTGTTTTATAAATTTGATTTAAATGTGACAAAAATTACTTTTTTTAAGATTACTTGACTCCACATGGTTTATGATGATTTAATGATTTAGGTAGCACCATGCTAATTGTTGGCATATAAGCTTCCCTTACTTGTTAGCTACTTTAGCCATTTAGTGCCACTGCTGAAACTAAAGAAGCCAACTCCAGAAACATGTCTTGGCTGATCAGCTATATTGTGGATCAGAGGGGAAAGCGGAGGCAATTGGATTTTTGGCCAAACTACAGCTCTAACTGTATTCATGCTAAAGTCTCAGATTTGATGATGTAAACATAGTAAAATCATAGTGTTGAGATCAATACAGATATCTGTGTAACATAAAGTGCGTCAGGCCTGACCTTTCTGGTAGTCCTTGCTCACTTGCACTGAAAATGTTTGCAGATGGACAGAGGTGGCCTAATTTGACCACAATAGTCCACTAAGAGTCTTTTGTTCAGAATTAGGCCTCCTCCTGCACTGGACGCAAAAAACAACATCCAGCACTGCAGCACCACAACAAAAGCAGTTTTTCCTACGAGTTCTCTAATGGCAGCCTTATTACAGAGCTCATACAGCCACTCTGAACACTGTCTACACAGAGACGTTTTAGCTTTTAATGTGCAACTGATCATTATTGTACAATCAGCTTCAAGAAGTAAAAGTCAAATTGAATGTGTATTTGTTAGAGTTTGTCAAAAAAGTCAAAATTTAATTTGTAGATCAGATTTGTTTATTAGAAAACATTTCTCTCAGAAGCTCACATCAGTAACTTACTCACTGCTGCATTACAACACAGAACCAGTTTCAAAAGTGACCATTCAGTCCCCAGTACACACAGTCCAAATATGGAAACTAAACTGCAAAAACCACCTCTTTTAAATTCATTGTTTTTGTGATGTCATGAAAACCAGTGTATTTACATATACCCACCCACTCAGCCTACTACAGTTTAGCCCCACACATTTATGCTGAAGTTGAAAAGAACATTTCAGCCTGTACTGCCTATTAAAGGAGGCACAATACCAGATAGCCAATCAGAGCAAAGCTCATTTACATGTAGGGAACATTCTAACAAATTTTTCCAAATGCAGAGTTCAAAACCCATTTCGGACTTTTAACTGACTTTGATTCAAAATCCTTTCGCTTTGACCCTATAACCTTAATTATGTTTATTATAAAAATAAATGATCGAACCTTCGTTTGTCACTGCTAAAATGATCATAATACTTCCTAAATATTCCAGTAGTGACTGATTTGGTAGTGACAATTTTAGCTAATTTTGAGTATAACCAGTACATGACTAGCAAACACAGTTTTGACTTTTGGACACATTTACATCAAAATAATCTCTGCTTTAAAATGCAGGGGCGTGGCCAAAATAGGGCTCCGCCTATGCAATAAAACTGTTTTGTTAGGGACATGAAAATGTGCATTTTTGTAGCATTTTATAAATAATGTTTTTGTTTTTTTAATTAAACTCTAAATCTACAACTCCATTAAAAACAGAATTTAATGATGTGCAAATCATTAAATTCAAATACCTTATATTTAATTGGAAATAGTACAAAAAGACAACATATTAAATGTTGAAACTTAGAAATGTTATTGTTTTTTGAAAATATGTGCCTATTTTGAATTTGATGCCTGTCTTAGAGTGATCCTTATCAGTCTTAAGGGTACAGTAACACACAGCATAGATGAAGAGAGATTGCAAAATGGTCATGTAAAAATTAATTACGGTGGTTCATAAACACAACGTTATAAGTGGAGGAAAAAAATAGTGTATGGACCCTTTAAATGAATGTTGCTTTAGTAGACTGCAGCTAGGGACATTAAAGCCACATGTAAGCCTTATTCAGCTGGACACTTTTCCATTTCATTCTTCAGATGCAGTTTTCTCATAATTTTTACACTTTTATTATCTTTGTTTTCCCAAGTTATTTGTAATGTGAAGCAATTTTGAGTCTAATAAATATCTATATTCAGTGTCACTGATACTTATGTGGAGTAGCACATGTTTAATTAACACAAAAGCCACATTTATTATTATGAATGTGGTGCACTTCTGGTTATTGGCCACATGAGGGCAGCAGCTACTCACTTATACCCTAGCCTCTATCCGAGGTAGTGTAAGTGGGCAGTGTTCTGGTAGGCATGGAGAAAGGCCAGCATGCTTAATTAGACGCATAATGAACTATAAATGAGACATTACGTTTTGGGGTAAAAACGTACATCTGGCAATTTCAGTGTAATTGTGTGTCTATATTGGCTCAGGTTTCTTTTTTATAACAAATGCTGCATAATCAAGGCCTTAAAACTAATTGTTATGCAAACTGTGTAGGTGAAACTTTTTTTTGTTAAAGCACTAAGATATTACTAAGGTTAATTCAGCAAATGATTTGTCAAGTAGAAACTTAATCCATATTCAACTGTCCATATTCTGCTGCTACAAAAGCTCTTATTGTATCAGAGTCAACTGAATGTATAGTAAGTTCAGCTTTGAATAACATTTCAGTAAACCTGAACTCCATCATCCTCTCTCAGTGTTTGTCTTGGGCATAGATACTTGAGTTTGGCTCAGTGAACTGACAGTGAATATTAAAGCAATAGTTTGGTGACATTAAGTTCCCAATGTATGATGTTTCTTGAGTTTTAACACTGGACTTACGAGATAAATTATGCTTAAGTGAAGGTTTGGGCCCATATCCTGCATTTTTCTTGTATTTTGTCTCCCCCTTTAGGTTCACTTACAATGTTTTTCTTTTTTTTATATACCAAAAACAGTCATAAATCAGCCCTCATTACATATGTCAACCTTTAAGACTGATGTATGTAAATGAGCTCTGTTCAAGCATCCAGCCTGAAACACTCCTTATGACTCCAGTGAAAGAGGACAGAGCTAAACCAATGTAGGCTGAATGGACGTGGCTCTACTGTTGTAGGCTGAATAAATGGATACTTGTAAATGTGTTGTTTTTTGTGACACTACAAAAACAATGACTTCATAACAGGCTGTATTTGCAGTTTAGTTTCCATATATGGGCTGTATAGACTGTATATCTTCCAAAATAATATCTAAGTTAAGGAAAAAATAAC